CAGAGACGCAGTGAGTCAGCAGGCAAAAAACAAAAGCAGCATATGGGAGGACTATAATTTAAACGAACGAGCGAATTAAAAAATCACTCAATTAGTCCCTTCCACTTAGCCTCGACTGCAGAATATTTACTTTAGTGAGTAGCATTAAGTACAGACTTAAAGTACTAAATAAAGTTCCAGTAGGAAATTGAGAAAGAAGCTAATGGTTTCATTTCAATAGATTGCTTGAGGTCATTTTCTTCTCACTGAAAAGAAAAACTTACACACTCCTCGAAAACCATATTTTTTAAAACAGGACTCGTCTAAAGCCAATATTTTCTAATTCTCCAAGGCAAAGCAATGAAAGAGACACTTAAAAAAAGCACACCATCACCAAATATGCATTAACTTCCCAGCTTCTTTAATAATCTACAAAATGCTCATTATGTTAGTTTTTTCATTTTCGCTTTACACTCGCACGCATTTACGTAAAAATATAAACCAAAACATGCAAGAAGCAAAAAATATTAGCATAAACATGAATAACAGGAAAAATTGACAGGAAACCTGCAAATAATGTGCACACGCACCCACAACAATACACAGCAGCAAAATCGAAAGCGACGATAACAGCAAAATAGCGAACAACAGCAAAAAATTAAAGTTAGAATCTGCCTAGTCCATAACAGAGGCCATTATAATGGCATACATAACTAACACTACGCGCAAACATTCATTGCATGAAAAGAAAAACGCGTGTGGGTGTGAAGGGAGCGCCCAAAGGAGGGAGCGGGAGCTATGAACAAAAGCAGCTAATAGAAAATGTATACAAAAGAAGCTGCAGACTGAGCTTAACTTTCGGAGGGTGCTTACTAAAGGTTACGCATACGCCACCGGCTACTAACTGAAGGCTATACGACGAATTTCAGTCAATGCCGGCATATGTATATCAATTGATCAATATGTATCTACCTACATTTCGCTAGCTTAGTGTGAATAGTTGCTAAGTTCACTTTTTATGAAAACTCACATTTTAATATAGGAAGCAAGGGATATTAAAAACGCATCGTTTCGCAAAGGATTGTGGTAGGTATTTTTTTTTTTTTTTTTTTTTTTATATTCAAGGCAAAGTCCAAAAGTGGCACCGAAAATCCAACAACACCAATTTAATACGAAATCTTTTAATAAAGATCGAATCGTTCTTATTCGTCTTTTTTATAGTCAATCAAGCTGCGGTCAAGGGCCGTGGCGACTAACACGATGTTCCGCTACGTTTTGTTTGACGTATACGTATATTAACCTCTCCAGGGTCTTTTGAAGAAACAATGCTAGGCTAATGGGATGGTAATCCTTTGGGTATGTGCGGCCACTTCCTCCCACCTTTGGCAGGAAGATTACCCTCTCGTTCCTCTAAGACGTTGGAACGTAGGTTTGCCTTAAACAGTCTTCAAATATGTCGCACCGCCAACCGACCCGCCTCCTGTAATATCACGGTAAAGATTTCATTCATGTATTGTTCGATATGAGGAAAACCTAACATTGCCGGTGATGGTTCAACATCGCAGCAGAATTAATTTGACACCTTTTGTGCTATCCTACAACCATACATTCCTTACATCTTTGTTAGCTGCTTGTCTGTCTACTTATCATAACAAAGCTCAATGCTTCATCTTGTCTAAATGGACAAAGGCCAAGCGTCTAAAACAACTATTGCCAGTGACCCGTAGATGACCTCCTTTGTTGCTTGTATCTCCTACTTCCCAGCAGCTATTCTTTTACAACAAATGTCGTCATTTCTTTTGAACATCCAGTACAGTGGACGACGGCATTCAAGTTTGCACCCATCGCTGCCATGCAAACAAACATTTATACTCGGATACTGGCCGAGTCGACTTGTTCAACGTTGCGTAAACGGCAGCCATTTGAGACGATTTTGCAATTTGCCCTTATCATGCGCAGGCAAATGATAATATGCTATTTTACATTTTATGAATTTCATAAACATTCATCAACGACAATGGCTAGTCGTTTGGAGCTAAAGAAGATAGGGAATGGTGCAGGTATTTTGTGAATGAATAGAAGTGCGTAGCATTTAGACCAGAGGTTCCCAAACTTTTTTTCTCGTAGACCCCTTTCAAAACTCAAATGGTTTCGGTGGAGCCACGTTGCTAAATTTCTAACATATTCGCAAAGCTCGTCAACAAATGTGAAGATTAGATCTAATGATGTAAATTTGCATCGCGGGTGAGTTCCAAGCTAAATTCGGAGTGGCAAAAATAAAAATAAAATATTTTCTTGTGTTCTATTTATTAAAATAGTGTGATTACACACTAGCCAGTTTAAAAAACCCGAGCTCGTTAAGCCATCAAAGTACTCTCTCGCTCTGAGGAGGTATATTTTTAAGAGTAAAACACTAAATAGATCTTCTGAGATTGAAGACAAAATCAGCTTTGCCCACCTGCATCCCCTCGATGCCTCCCAGTCATTGCTGAGCGAAGTACTCACCCAGTTTCTGATGTTAGCTTCGATGGCCGAGGTGGGGAGCGCTAAAGCAGGTTGCGGATCGAGGAATGCCTGGTCTAAGCCAACTGTGGCCAAATGGTTAGATCACTATACACCACTCAAAAAACTTTAAGTTAAATATAGAGGCTACTAAGCAACCATAAGATTAATTTTAGTGGACCCTCACTTACTACTTACTTGTACACCCCCCATATTTTTTTTACGCCAACGTAGACCCCCGTCGAGTCGCCAGTGGAACCCTAAGGGTGCACCTGGGCCAATTTGGGAATCACTGATTTAGACTATGCCGTGGCATTTAGACTATGCCGTAGTACAATGGCTTTATAATGAACAAACAAAAAAAAAATGATTTGTAGTTTGCAGAGGAAGTGTTTTTTTGTCTTTTCTACAGCGGCTTCTTCTACTGTTGATGAAGACTATATTACTCGCAGGTGCACCACTGAAGCGGAAGTATGCCACCTAGGAAGGTAATGCTCAGTGATATCGCTAAGGGAAGAGAAATTAAGCAAAATTTACGATAAGAAACAGCCTACAGCAAAATAAATATTAGGATGCGGCCTTACCCAATAAAAGCGTAAATATTGATTTATATGAAATACGTACATTTGCATATGTACATATATCTATGTATGCAGGCGCTTAGTTACATGTGGCAAAATAAATGTGGGAAAATTAACACAACGAAATATTTCAGTACAACTTTTAAGAAATTACTAAAACTAAAGGCATACCTGGAAAAAGAAAATATTATCCGCACTCTTCTTAAAATTTAACACTTAATGTCTTTCGGGGTACGAAATGACACATTTGCCCCTATGAACATAACGAGGGCTTATATTCAATACCCTCTATCTGAAATTTTTCACTCTATCTGCGGCACTGTTTTGCTTCTTTGAAAATTTACTTGAAAAGGTGTAGCTGACGTGTGACATAGAAACATACATTTTTGTGCAATATGTTTATTTGTATATGCATATATATATAGCCATCGGCGTAGCCAGAATGAAATTTAGGGGGGCTCGACCCTATTAAGCTGGCATTTCAGGATACTATTTTATATATATGGGGCATTTCACCTCAAGTGACCCAACTTTTGAAATCTATGTCTTCCGATCGGGATGAAATTTGCACCAAGGTTAGTCCTAAAAAATAGTAGTTATGACACAAAATCTCAATGGGATGGGTCAAACACACTCCGAGTTGGAGGGTCTGGAATTTTGACATTTTGGTCAAACGGCCATTTTTTCGGATCCATATAACTAATTACCTATTGTATTTAGAAAATTTTTTCAGGAATGTTTTCGATAGATTTCTCTTCAGTCTTTACAAATTTTATTTTTTTTTAATTAAAATGAATTTTTTTTTTTTTTTTTTTTTAAATAAAAAATAATTTTTATGTTTTTTTTCAAAAAGGGGTATTTTTATTTTTATTTTTTTTTGCTCAAAAGAAAGCTTAGGTATTTTTCTTTAAGAGCTTTGTGGTCGCTTAGTGGGATGCAACTTGTGTATCAATCAAAATTAGCGTTTAGTAACTCGAAACAGCGGTTTTTTTAATTTTTAATATATGACCTATTGTCTTCTTTTTTTCGTATTATTGTGTAAGTGTCTCGGAAACCTGAAAATAAAACTTATATGAGAAGGTATATACAATTACCTTTCCAACGGTATATAACACGCCTAACCAAAGTTTCATACCCTCGATACTGCCATTCCCGTAGTTAAGGATGATTAAGATTTTTCGTAGTCTAACACAGCAGGTACTCGATTTTGTGCATCCAAACTCTTTATTAATAGCTTTGCAGAATTTTGAGTATTAGATTTGCATACCTACTAGCACAATATTTAAAAGGTATGAAGAATATGGGATTTTCCGGTAGTTAAGGATGATTAAGATTGTTTATTTTTTGCTCAAAAGAAAGCTTAGGTATTTTTCTTTAAGAGTTTTGAGGTCGCTTAGTGGGATGCGACTTGTTTATCTATTAAAATGAGCATTTAGTAACTCGAAACAGCGTTTTTTTTAATTTTTAATATATGACCTAAGTTTTTCTGAAACCTGAAAATAAGACATATAAAAAATTAGATACAATTACCTTTCCAACGCTATATAACAATACCCACAATATGTACACCTTTGGAATAAAATAACTGTTTTTCTATAGAATTGGTCAAAATTATGAATTTTTTTATTTATTTAGAATAGTTTTTAATATATAATTTAATAAATAGATACATAAAAAGTATACAAGATAGTTAATTTTATAATAGCCAGCCTTCCATCCACCTTATTTTCCACCTTTCTTTGTGGCTTTTTTCGTCAATCCTTTCTTAGGGTTACTGGGTTCTGCTGTTGATTTCACTTCGGGTTTCGCTTTTGGAAAGAAATCACATTGGGTAGAGGAAGAAAACTTCTTTAACTTGAGCCTTCCATCGCCAATCGGTATGAAAGCATGATATTGAGCGGTACCATCGATTGTTACTGCAGCATCGAATCTGCTCTTCAGTGATTTCGCAGTTTCCGCATGATCATCTTTGCTACTAAAAATTATTTCAGTTTCTTTACAGTACTTCTTTGCCCACCGGAATAAAGCTTTCGCATCTAAGATACGGGCTTGATGAGAGCATTGGAGGCTATACTTCGCTGCATTTCTTTTAATATTTGCTCCTATACCATCACATGCTCCTTTACCATGAGCAGTAGGATGAAAATGCCACTCAGCTGGTGTATCGAAATCTGTTTCATGAGCCATAAGATTTGCGAAGCTACTTTTGTTTTTAAAATGCTGACGAGGTCCATCCGAAACGTAGTATACCTTCGCTACTGTGAATTCGGATTTTAGATAATTTAGTATTATCTTCTGGTACTCATAAACAGCAACGGCGTCATGCTTCAAATCGTCGGATATGATTGCCATACTTTTATGTTCCAGTTTTCCATCTTTCATGTAGTAAATAACTATTGTAAATATAGTTGCTTGGTCGTTATTGAAATGGAATGCTTGTATGGCATCCTGGATAACATATTTATAGTTTTCTGCGAAATCGTATGAAATAACGAATTCACCTGCCTGCAAATGTATCTTCAAATTTTCGAAGAATGACCGCTGCTCCTTGACTAGAAAGTCATGGGTTCTCAAGTTTACCAATCCGGTACAAATTTCTTCCACAAAATCGTCCACACTTAAGATAACTGTTTTCAATGTGCACCTTTCAGACTGCAGCCAAGATTCAAATTTGACCTCCTCCACAAATTCTCGGTCAAAAGACTTGACCAAATTCTCTTTGATGAACGTAGTTCCCGGGCAATTTGAGCATTCACCCAAGTGGCAAGAAGTTGATACATTAGGACACATTGTCAATTTAAGGCAATCACGGTAACTGTTCAAATCTTCCGGCGAATCATTTGTTAAATAATTCAAGTTGATTTCCTTCAACATCAGCTTCACATTTTCATGATAAATGCAAACGCATACTGTATGAGTTCCGCTGCTTCCTGCCAAGACGCAATGTTTTGGCCTGAGCTGGGTAAATTTTGTGAATCCAATTTTAATATCCTCGTGTTCAGATTGAAAGCTCGCGAACAGCTCATTCAGGTTGCAGAGAATTATCCTCTTCTGCATTTGAACTTTCTTACCGTCAATTCGTACAGACACCCAGTCTTTCATCCCTGGCATCAGGCGACTCATATCATCGCGCTGATAAAACTGAGTCACTAGAGCTTCAGTTTTGCACTCTAAAGGTTTTCCTTTCTTTGTGTTTGGGAGTGTGAGTATGCCATGCTCTGCAACTAATTTTTTAGCAATCCTGGCTTTTCTTTCTGATGTTCCAAACTCAGCCATTGTTTTTGCGCGACTCCATGTCGGTGGAGCAAGCGTGAGAAGTTGAATTTTTTCTGCTCTACTAGTTGAAGTTTTGTACTTTTCTTTTATTTGCTCAAGTACTTTTACTGCATCCTTGTGGTATTGGTTTTGGCACTCATCCCTTGAAGTCATATTTTCTTCAGTAAAGTTGGAGCCATCGTCATCGGAAATTCGGTCATCCTTCTCAGATTCAATATGGTCTCTATCTGGAATAACGTCTTCACAAGGCTCATTACTTTTCGAAGTCGGTAATTCCTTCAATTTGCTGAGCTCTTTCCTGCACGATCCACAAATTCGCATCCGTTTTGATAGCGTAGGGAATTTTGATATTAAGCCGTCAGAAAGCCGTCGTGTATCTGAAGAAACGTGGTTTTTTTTGTTGAAGGGATTAAAGCAAAAAGAAGCAAAAATTTCTTTATCAAGTTTAGCCTTTTTATGAGCCATAGCTACTGAAAATATTAATTATGTAAATAACACAGTCTTTATTTTAACGCTGTTTCTAAAAAAGTGGTCTTCAAAATGACCATACACTGCCTTCATAAACTATAGCTGATTTATTATAGCTACTTATAGGTTGCGCGAGTAGGTATGAATATCTATTGAGAAAAGGTTTGGACGAATCTGCTGTGGTTAGGTACAAAGAAAAATCTTAATCATCCTTAACTACCGGAAAATCCCATATTCTTCATACCTTTTAAATATTGTGCTAGTAGGTATGCAAATCTAATACTCAAAATTCTGCAAAGCTATTAATAAAGAGTTTGGATGCACAAAATCGAGTACCTGCTGTGTTAGACTACGAAAAATCTTAATCATCCTTAACTACGGGAATGGCAGTATCGAGGGTATGAAACTTTGGTTAGGCGTGTTATATACCGTTGGAAAGGTAATTGTATATACCTTCTCATATAAGTTTTATTTTCAGGTTTCCGAGACACTTACACAATAATACGAAAAAAAGAAGACAATAGGTCATATATTAAAAATTAAAAAAACCGCTGTTTCGAGTTACTAAACGCTAATTTTGATTGATACACAAGTTGCATCCCACTAAGCGACCACAAAGCTCTTAAAGAAAAATACCTAAGCTTTCTTTTGAGCAAAAAAAAATAAAAATAAAAATACCCCTTTTTGAAAAAAAACATAAAAATTATTTTTTATTTAAAAAAAAAAAATTTAAAAAAATTCATTTTAATTCAAAAAAAATAAAATTTGTAAAGACTGAAGAGAAATCTATCGAAAACATTCCTGAAAAAATTTTCTAAATACAATACGTAATTAGTTATATGGATCCGAAAAAATGGCCGTTTGACCAAAATGTCAAAATTCTAGACCCTCCAACTCGGAGTGTGTTTGACCGATCCCATTGAAATTTTGTGTCATAACTACTATTTTTTAGGACTAACCTTGGTGCAAATTTCATCCTGATCGGAAGACATAGATTTCAAAAGTTGGGTCACTTGAGGTGAAATGCCCCATATATATAAGGAAAATTTGAAAGTTAGGGGGGAGGGCTCGACCACCCCTGCCCCTACCTGGCTACGCCCATGTATATAGCGCATTTAACTGATGAAAACATAAATTGTTTTTAAATTCGATGTTTACATAAAACTCATAGTAGTTTTCTTTTAACTTTGAGCCCTTTCGCATCAAGGAATTTCATTATTCCCCTTTTTCCGTCCTTCTAATGCACCGTTTTGTAATGGAGTCTCAAACCCCGGCTGTCAAAAATTATCTAACATTTTATTATTGAATCACAAACTACTTAATACCATGTGCATATCTATTTTTAAGAAGCGTTTCCGTCCCAACCATTTCCGTGTGCAATTTCCATTGAACTTGCCAATTTGCTCCCAACCAATAAACCGCCGCTAAAAAAGTTTTACTTTCAAAAAATTATGCGCTACAAATCCCTCACCATACTCGCCCTTTTATATGGCCAATACCGAAATATGTAGATGAGAAAGCTTTGAGCCTTTGCGTGGGCAATGGCTACCGAATAAGATGGAATGATGAAATGATACAATTTTCGCGCCGAATTCCTGTATGTCAGCATCTCAAGCTTATCACTTTCACGCCTTTCTGTCTCGCTTTTTTTAATACATCTCTATTTCCTTGATATTTGCCCCAGAACCGCTCAATTCTCTCGCTCGTAGGAATTCGCTACAGTGTCGGCAACGATGCGTATTTCTCTGCAGCATGGCACTTTTCATCATACCAGCTGTTCCTATGCTAGTAGTAGTAGCCAAACGCAGAGAGATTTGTGGATCGATTCCCACTTCCAGTTTATGTATATCAGGGTCGTTTGCGAAAATTTTAGGGCGTCGCTTAAGACTTTAGACGTTCGTTCAGCTTTCCTCATGTCCATTTTTAGGTTATGCCACGTTTCGTGCTAGGGCGAAGTCGATGAGACTCCCTCCGTTGTAGGAGGTGCTATCATGAAGACTGCAGTTATGCAAGGTAATGATTAAGAGTTTAGTTGAAAATCCGAGGAGTTTGTTACTAGCATAAAAATGTTTGAATTAAAAATGTTTCAAAAAATGTTATGGTATATTAACCTTACTACCAACTCTACCGGCCCTACCAGTATGTAAAGCTAGACCCTTCGGTGATGTCAGAGGAAGATCTTCGTTGCTTTGAAAGAGCAAAGTGGAGAAGGACCTGGCTCCACCTTTTGTTCCAATTGAGCCGTTTAGTAGAGGAAATGGCATGCGAATTTCGTTTATCTTTGCTAAGATATCTTACGCGGATATACATATAGTACATAAAATAAAAATACAGAGACATACATACATACATATCTATTAGAGTTGGATGGTTTAGTTCACTTTGGAGATTAGTTCACTTCTAGTTCGTTCAGCTCAATGAACTAGGCCTCTGAGTCTTAGTTCGTTTACCTTATTGATTCGGTAGTAGAAACTGAGTTACAAAACAACAAAAATTTAAGTTTTATAACACATACATATTTACATATGCATAATAGATTTCAATTCGTCTTTTTCCAAAATCCCGTAATGATGTTTACGGAAATTCGGCAGTGTCTGCATTTAATTTTTTTTCTTAAATTTTGCATTCGAAAAGCGAGAACATTGCGTTTCACTTTGACAGCTGAAAGAGAAAGTCTTTTGTTAAACAACAAATCCCAAAAAACTCAGCTCAAATACTTACTTTTTAACACAAATTGCACTAAACGATATAAGACATTGAAAATTAAATGAAATAGAATGTCTTTTTAACGCAAATTTCTTTCCTTTTCTTACAACGAAAAACGAGTACCTATACATATACATGTGTTGTAAAATTACATTTCCGTTTTTATTGGAGTGTTGCTCCAGAAAAATTTAGTTCACTTTAATGAACGAACTAATGAACTAGTTCAATTAAAAGTTGTGGCACTTTCGCTCTTTAGTTCAAAAGCTCCCCAAGCCTAATATGTACTATATACGTGTCTGCATTCATTAGCATTTTATGAAATTAACTATGGGGTGGAAACCACAAAAAGCATCTTCATTTAGATGTTCAACAAAGTGTTCTACTACCACCACAACACACTCTTAATGAAAACAAAACGGACTATCAAATCAGCTACCAAGAAGCTGGTACCCCACTCCACTTTGTGTGTTATCTTAGCTGTGGTGATGCAAGGACATTTTAATTTGCCTAAAAAGCGTTGAGCACTTTGTAGTTTCAAGCCTTGTCATAACCACTGCCATTTTTACTGAGCGCTTATTGTTTTTTATTTGTTGGTAGTAAAGAAAAATATTGTACATATAAACATAAAAGAAGCATAAATGAGCAATTTGTAAAAACTTAACAACCACAAAAGCAATGCAATACAATGAATAAAACTCTAAGATATTCAACATCCGAGTCATGATAAAATTAAAATAAATTAGCATAGCAAAAACTAGTTCCTTTAATGCGGGATCAAAAAGATAACTATCTACACTGAACAAATAAAAATAACGTAAAATTTAAGATATAAAATAAATGCGCATTACAATTTTTCTACTTATCCAGCATCGCGAGCTGCGTTGAATACTTTCCAGCTGAAGTTAGCGCAGCACATAAAATCAGCTGTGTTCCTTCAGTGGAAAACCCATACTATACCAATTTTTTGATCAACAAATGGAAAAATATATTAATTTTTAAATTATGTAAACTAAATTTACGGAGAAAATATAATAATAAATAGACAATTTGTTGTGATTTTGTATTTTTTGTGTATGTATGTACCTTTAATGAGGATACTCCTAGCAATGAGGATATTTCGAGCGAGGTATCAAATGAACTTGTTTGAGCAAAGGTTCTGATAGTTGCTCCTAATTACCTGAACCCTTCTGAATTCAGTGGCGTCCCTAGCTTTGCAAAATTGGCTCCACTTTTCGAGGTAGGGATACCTGAACCTTTGCTTAAATTTCAACTATTTCATAAATAACTCCCTCAGTTTTGAAGCTATTTTACTATAATTTTGAACATCACTGTATTTTTTATATAACCTTAACGTTTCCATAAATTCATCGTAATCATAATGTGGTTATATAAAATAGCACCCAAAATATTAAATTTAAACCTCGGAAAATAGAAAACAGAAATATTGAACTAAAATTAATGTTTAGTAACTTAGTCAATAGAGAATGCTTTTCCAAGTGTAAACTTAATGGCCAACAGTAATTACGCTTACATAAATACACACAGTGGCCAACTCATGACTTCATTTTGTGCGAGTATGCCATACAACAAACAACCAGAAAATATATCTTTATTATGAGAAGCGCCACAAAAGCTCAACGAATCAACTGCAGGCAGGGTAATAGTGAGAAAAGAAGATTTAAAGGAAGATGTCCAATGTCAACTGACTAAAAAGCAAGCAAACAGAAGTACCAATAAAAAAAAGTCATGGTGGAACGGTTAAGAGGAGTACGTGGTGGTGACAGTGAAGTCATGCAGAATGACGGAAAAATTAAGCGCTTGATTGCAGATCATATCTAAGTTTTATGTTCTCTTTTTATGTCACAAGCATATGAGTAAAAAAAGCTTGTAAAAATTTAAGAAAAGTGCGATTAAATGCTGAACATGTGATAAAAAATTTGCAGAATGGTGAAACCAATGTACTAAAGTAAATTTCAAACAAACAAACATATTTAATAATAATATAATAATAGAATGGCGCTTACACAAATGCTAGTGTTTGGCCGAGCTTCTCCTCCGATTTGTGGCGGGCGCCTTGATGTTGTCACACAAAGGGGAGGGACCTACAGTTTTATTTGTATTTTTATGAGAAGCTGTTTTTCATGACATAAATAGGTGACAGGTAACAAGATCTACGGAAATAAGGTCAATGCGAAATGGTGTCAGCATACTGGGGCGAAATAAAGTCAACTGACATTATTACCATTTAAAAATCGAAATAAAGTAAACAAAATTTGGAAATAAAGTAAATGATACTATTTCCTCATTCAAATGAAAATAGCGTCAACAATGCTTAAAGTATGTCGATTCAAAGAATAAAATGTTGTTCTTGCATCTTACGTGATATATGAATGTTGTTACAATAAACATTGCCCCGTAACTGTTTTTTCTATAGATGAAAAAGGTGATTGTCAAATCCTCAGAGTGGTATTAATCAGCACACAATCTGGAACCAACACTAATTGATTTTATTAAAAAAAAATAAATTACGAATATAGTAAAAACACGATGCAAAAAACCAAACGCAGAAAGAGCTGGAATACGAGAAATGTTTGAAGAAAGAATATAGAAATAATCCAGAACTTGCAAAACATGTTTCGTTTCCACAAAAATAAAGCAAACAGTGGATTGCCGCCATGTCTAAAAACTCTGGTTTAACACTGAGAGAATTGTGTTTGTAAATTAGCATATTTTGAACGAATTCGGAATGTCTAAGGTGGAAAAGAAACCAACCTTTCTATAAGGAAACAATTTCGCCGCCAACAATTTGTGACATCATTTAAAAGCATCTAAGGAGAACGACACTATTTACTAGATGGCCCATTCAAATCAGTGTGCCAAAATGCGACCTTATTTCCGTTGATCTTGTTACCTGTCACCGCATAAATACACTCGGAGGTTTGCCGTTGCTTGCCGAGGGGCGAC